TTTTTTCTCTCTCAAGAGAGAGAGCATTAGCTCAGTCGTATTCCGCCATCGAGGAATTTCAATTATGTTGCGCCGATTATGGAATTCTAACTTGAGATGACGTACGATAAGTCGTACGCGAATTCTTCGAATTCGTAACATAGAAAATAAATTTCTCTTTAATCGCAGAAAAAAAAAAAAGAAAAATGAACTATCTGAAAAAAATATCGTAAAACAAACGAGATTCCTAATGGAAAGGAATTATACCGTGCCATTACGCTTTCATTCTTTTCAATTCATCGTCTTCCGAACTCGAAGTTCGGAATAAAGAGAACAATTTCTTTTTCTTTGTCCTATAAACGCATGGTTCCACAAAGGAACTATTCGGTGAAACATTGGAATAATACATCTCCGTGAAGTTCGAGGTCCCTTTGTTCGTACCTACGTACCTTCCACGAAAAGGAAATATCCTTCGGGATTTTTGGCCAGTATACGAAGCGCCTTTATCGTCATTTCGGCCAGTGACGGGTCACCGCTTCCGTTCGTGTTTCGATCAACGTCGAAGTCCATATGGGAATAGGAGAACAACCCTGGAATGATTGAACAATATGAAATCACCGATTTCCTATTATTGGAGTAAAATTTTTCTCCATTCGTTCCCCTTTATGAACGAATTTGAAAATTTAATACAATTTCTTTTCCGATGTTAATTTTCTAGAATAATATCAATAGGTTTCAGTTTTAATAGTGAATGCAAGTGAAATGTTCTTTTCTTTTTTTTTATTTCTCAATAAAAACGCGCAATTTCACGCAACTGTTAATTGTCAGCCAATAATTTGCTTATTAGACAATCTTGGGATAGGGAATCAACAGTTCTGATCAATAGGCCAAGTGTAATCTCATATTCAAACGTTACGTCGTTCATAATTAGCGCGGACTAACTAGCAGCTAACTATATCGAAGCATTAATCGCGCGAGATCGATAATTATCTAAAGATACAATGCACAATAATCTTAATTATTCCTGAACAATTTGTATTGTTTTTTTTTTTTTTTTCGTATTTCGTAATTGAATCGTAAAAACTTTCATCGTATGTACAACTTTCTTTCTATGCCCGAACGATATGAAATAAATAATATCAAATATTGGAAGAAAGAAAATTTAATTGAATTATATTTTTTTTTTTTAAACGAACCGTTTCAACGTAACGATGTAACGAAAACTATCACTTTTCAGTGATTGAGAATAAAACGATTTCTCGATTTGATAAATCGCTTTTTCCTCTCCTTATTGGAAATACGGGAAACGTAGAAACATATTTTCATTCGTTACCCAACAGATGGTTCACTTTCCGTGGATCGACGCTCTCGAACTGCTCCTTGTTAGCCACGTATTTCGCGGCCACGTTCCGCAATCGATGGTTCCTCGACCATTCTTCGATCAGATTCCTTCCGTCCAATCGTCTTCCTTCCTTATCCGGCTCTTCCGGATCCTGGATCACTTTCGGCACGAAATGACGTCTACCTCCGCCGAGTATCACCTACGATCGACCATGATTCATTAGCATATATTTTATCCCAAATATTATTTCTCGATACATTTTTTTTCAGTCACTTTTTTTTTATTAAGATATTACTTGTGAAAACTTGTTAATTTTTCTTTTTGTAATTTAAACGAATATTGTTTATTTAAATTGATTTAAAGTTTTCAATATATAATTAATACGATTATTGCTGGCAACGTATTTAAAAATAATTTATCTTACTCTTTAAAACGCTTTTTCATTTATTTCGATACGTTTACTATTTCCATCATTGCTTTCTCTTGAAAGAAGATTCTTGACCACTTATCTCATTCTACTTTTTTAACAATATCTTTGCAATCGATTGAATTATCGGACTATAAAATAAAAAATAATTTCAATGATATTTCTTAATAGATTACGAAAACAGAATCTTTTAAAATTTTGAACGATTATTAATAATCATCGTATATATATGGGGATATAACGTGTTAAATATATTAACATATGAATATTTGAACACAATATTCAGCTACACTTTTCAGTGATTGAGAATAAAATCGGCAATCTAATCGTGGTTATCGCTTGCGTTATAACTCGCCTCGGATTTCCTTCAATAATCGGATTTAAATTTCAATTTAACGAGATTAACATCGGTCGAAACTTTGATCCACGATTTTCATTTTCGAATCTTTTATTTTCGTACGTTCCGTTTCTTTGGACGCGCGTGTTTGTGTTCCATCAGAGAACGTGATCCCAAAAGCAATTTTGTAGAATTTCAAAGTCAACCGAAAAGGAATAGTCTTCTCGTTCATCCGTAAAATTTTCCATTTCGGTGATTACAGCTTTTTTTTTTTTCTTCTTTTATTTTTTATTTTTGTTTCACGGATAGCTTGGAACAGAAAGTCACATATAAAAAGGATTACGAGCACCCGACCTACATTGCACGCTTTTTATATTTTAATATCGCCAATGAAAGACACGTAGAATATGTTATGCGATATTTTTGTTTTTGTTTTTTTTTTTTTTCAGAATATCATATTGTTTTGGATTGAATAGTTCCTCGAATTATTTGTCGATATTAAAAATGATTTTAATCGAATTTAATCAAATAGAGATATTTCGTTGTAAAATATTCTTTAACCGATCGAAATGTTTTCTTATTTCGACGCATTTTTTCTCGAATTTTCGTAAGAGTTTCGATTTATGCTTATAATTTACCGTACTTTCCCATTTCAGGATTCGTTCAGGTTTTTTTTTTATAATAGATTAAAATGCACATATTTCGACACAAGGTATACGTTATATGTTAAATTCAAATAAGTAATTAACAAGAAATTGTTTCGTTTTCCGTGAACGATTTGAAATGTTAATTACTCTCGGTATGAAAATTAAAAGGTTGATCGAAATTCTATTTTCCCGGATAAACAATTAAAATTACGCGGATGTTAATTAACCCGATGGAACATCGAAATTTGACCTTATATATAATATATCATTTCGAAACTGTTTAATTACCGGGGAATAGATATTGAATTTTCAAAATTTTACTTTGGTCACTCGTCACCAAAGATATTTCGAAATATTTCGCAGGATAAATTTTATTTCCGATTCTCCTAATAAATCCTGGAATTCATTGGGAAAGTCATCCCCGTGGACTTTTAATTCCCCTTCTGTCCGACCAACAAACTCTCTCGAGAGCTCTCTCTCTAAGCAGACTTTAACGAGAACGGAAAGTTTTGCATAGAAGTTCCGTATAAAAGCTCTGATCTCTCGAACCAACTTTTTTCAACCATTTACGTCGCCACAAAAACATCGTTCGGGGTCTTCCACTCGCCTAAATCCCAACTTCCTCGTCGATCGAACCACCGATTCTTCCGGCTAAGGTCGTCTCGCCATCTTCTTTCGACGGAAAGTTCGGATAACGTTATCGCGATTTTAACGAAGTTTCGCGAGGGGAGAGTTAACTTCATATCGGATACAGTTCGATTCGAAGGGAAGATCTTTCGAAAGGATCTTTCGAGGATTCAAAGAAACGATACGAGGACGAAGAGATTTTTAGAAATTGATTTTGCATAGAGTTAAGAAAAGAGTAGCCAGAGATAAGGGAAACCGTCCTCCTTATTTAAGATGGTTTCGCTCGATCGATGAATAAAGTTTTGTTCAATTTTCGACTCGAGAAGCAACGTTTCGAACGTTGTCTCTGTACAATCTTGCGAAAACGTGATAATGATTGCGTGACGCGCGACGACGAAAACTAAATTTTCTCAAATTCTCGAGATCCTCGAGTTTACACGGACGCGCATGAAATCCTCAAAATGGGATTATAAACTCGATGTGCAGCTTGTGGAAATGCGATTAGAGAAGAGAAGAAGGTAAATTCTTAACGCGATAAACATAGTCCAAGAACGATAAAACTACTCGATTTGGGAACTGACATAATTTGCACGCGTATTCCTCGTGATGAGGTCGAGCTTGGAGTTGGAAATCTTCGAGATTTCTGAAATCTTGAACAATTATCCCCGTACGTATCTAACGAAATTCAACAGCACAGAGTGCACATTGCTTCGTCACATTTTTCTCAAATTCAAATTGACAGATTAAAAATCTTTTTATTACCGCTGTTTCAATAGTAATAAAAATTATCAGTCGAACATTTCGCGATTTACGAAATCTATTTTGCCGCAGAGAGAAGAATTTGAACGCACTCGACTCGTTTCGTTTCATGGGATCGATGCGGCGTGTAAAACGTCGCCGATAAATCGCGGAGTGGAAGGCTCGGGTTTGTTGCTTTTCCGAAATCTCTTTCCTCCTCTCTTTGCTCCCAACGATACCCGCTTTAATCCCCGGCATTTTTAACGTTCCTTCTCCCTCTGTCGAATATTTTTGAACGAGGGCCGATTTTCGCGCGAATATGCGAAATCGAATTCGTACGATTCAATGTAACGAAAGATATCATAAATTTTAAATCGAGTTACTCGAATATAACGTTCTATAATATTTTTTCTATGTATATATCGATATTTTTATCTTATATCATTTCCTTCTTTCGAAAAATGATAAGAGATTATATTATTAATTTTCCAACGACGATTCAACTCGTAATCTTGATTACGTAACTTGTTTTTCGAAGAAGAAGAAGAAGAAAAATCGTATTAACGAGAAAAAAATGAAATAATCGTTGAATCGTATATTGTTAGTTCAAATAAATATATATATATATATATATATAT